AGAGGGAATCATTAACTCCACCCTTCTATCCCGAGACCAAATTGCAATCATGTCATCCCAAGCTATCATTGATATTGAATTTTTGTCCAATGACTAATCTAAATCTCCCAAGCTGTTTGGTTTATGCTTCTTCATGTTTTATTCTTCCTGATCTTTCCACCAAGGACATATTAGTTCCTTTGCAACAGCTTTTTAGTGGAAGATTAAAATAACCTTCCTTCTTCTTGGTTGTTACTTCTTCAGAAAAAGCCCTCACATTTCTCACAGTCGTCCCTCATGTTTTCTGGACCTCTGTCAATTTTTGCCCATCTTCTTTGCCAATTCTTTCATCTCTTTCTTGAAGTACAGTGCACTAAACAGGTCACAGTCTTCCAGGTGAATCTTTGACTGTGGGGATCGACCCACATGGACTCTTTCAGTAGTCTTTAAGACCCTTTAGACATCCCAATGGCTTTGCCATTCATGCTTGTTCCACCATAGTACCCTATCTTTTCTCTTGTGAAGTGGTACTTTAACAGTTTTGCAAGTACAGATGATTATTTCTGTGTAAGCATTTTGTACTACTGTATTCCATCCATTTTGATGACTTCTCTAAATATATCAAGATCATCTTAAATTCTAATTTTTTTATCATCTGTAACATCTGCAGTCCTTCCTTGCTCCATCTGCAAGACTCCTACTTCATATTCCATCTTCTATGCCTTCATTGAAAACATTAAATGAAACTTGATCTGAGACCAAGGCCCACAGAATTCCTTGCAAAACACACATATTTTGATAGGTTTTGATGGAATTACCCTGTGTATACAATTATCCAACTAGACTTGACCTCCTGCCCCTTCCCACAGCAGTTTCATTTAGATCACAGTTCACTAGCCTGTTCATAAGGATATTATAGGAAGTACTGCTAAAGGCCTTGCAAAAATTAAATAAAAAAAATAAATTCAAGATATGTGACATCTGCAGCTAGTACTTTAATGTCCTTTTAAGACTCTTAGAGTGAAGTTGCTGAGGCTCAGACTCAGGAAGACATCTAACATAACTGGTTACTCTCTAAGCAAGTTTTACATATTTTAGGCTGAAATTTTACCATCTAAATAATTGCACTGTCTGGTTGCTGTTGACCTTTTTAGTAAAGATTGATGAAAAAGGGAGAAAAAAAGTGCATTAAACTCTACCACTTCCTTAACATTCTCTGCTGATAGCACACCCTCATCATTGAGTACTGGTCCAAACTTCCCTTTGTTTTTCTCTTAACACCTTACCTGTTAAATTTCTTTTATTTTTGGTAAGTTTTGCTAGTGGCATCTAGTGCATTTTGTCTTTACTAACTCAAAAAACTCCCCCACACACACCCTGCCATGAATGGAGTATTGTGCTGGGTTCTTAACCAGCTGTCCTAGTTTCTGCTTTACAGATATCTCTCTCTCTTCTGCTTGAGGTCAATTAAAAGGTTGTGAATTAGCTGACTTCTGCAGAATTTCCTTACATTCCCCTAAAATGCCATAGGTTGCACTTGGTTTCTTATTAACATCTCTTGAATGAACTGACAACTCTTCATAATCTGTTTTTCCCTTAGATTTGTCTCTTATGAGATCTTCCCTACCAATTCTCTGAGTTTATTGACATCTGCCTTCTTGAAATCTAGTGCTGTCAGTCACTCAGATCAAGTGGCAGAAGATGACACTATGCTTGCTGCAGTGCTGATTCCTTGTAAAATGTCATATCTGGCAGCAGACTGCCCTCTACCTACATGCAAAACTGCTGTTCAGCAGAGGGAGGTTGTGACAATTACAGTGTGTACTGGCACTTAAGATTTAGGCTGCTGTTCAGAATTTATCACAGAAAAAATCTAACGTCAGATAAACTTTCTGTAAGGCATCAATAACTGCCCTTAAAATGAATCTCCATTAATGTGGATAGAGGAACTGCACTAATGAAGTGTTTAGAACACAAATTCCTTGTGATAATAAATAATCCAGACTAAGGTATGCAATGATCCTTGCCCTTCTTTGTTTACTAAAAACTTCAAATGCTATGCAGCTATTTCATGGTGCAATGGACAGACAGTGAGACTGTAATGGGGGAGAGGAAGTAACAAGCAATAAACATCACCCTAAGCAAAAATGGCTGATCAGACCATACTGGACCTGTGCCTTGTAAGAACAGTGACAGAAGCTCTTACTGACGTCTAATACAAAAGCAGTAAGACTTCAGGTCCTCCCGAAACCCTCCAAAACTCTTTAATGTTGGTTGAGACCACCGTAGATACCTCATGGCCCCTCTCATAGGTCAACTAGAAATGGTCAAGAAGTCAGGCCAAGTTTGGTACTTATATTGGAAAGCTTCCTATTACACAATTATTTTAATGACAATATTACTATGGGGGTTTCTTTACTATCACTTCAAGTCGATTTGGATTCCCTTAACAATGAAAATTAATTACCAGTAACGAGTCCTAGCTGTAGTCAATTTTATGACAGATATAAACTAATAAAAATGTGGGCATCATACTATCAATATGGTGTTGGAAGACAGAGGAGCAAGCCTTTCCTGTAATCAGAATACTGGTGATGGTTTAGAGAAATCCAGTGGTTGTTGAACCACTCTATTACATGCCACAGGGATCTGATGTGTGGTGTCCATACGCTATCTAGTGGCTCTGTCGATTATGACATTATCCCTGAATTACTCTTCTTCTGCTTGTGAATTGTAGTATTAAAAACTGTGTTAGATGAAATCAGGGTTCGTAAGTCTGTAACCATTCCCTAATGAATCTAAGACATTTTGAGGTCATAAGTGAATAATGAAAAAAACCAAAAAGGTAGTAAAGCCTGGGTGAATATGCAGACAAAACTCTTGATGGGGAGTTCTAGGCAGTCATTCCTGTCACTAACAGCATTCTGACGGGCACTGGTCAAGCAGTAAAGATCTTTCTCTGTCGTATACAGACTATGTTCTAGATTGACTACTAAAAAAACCCACTCAGTTTAGGAGTGCTTCAAATGCTTAAGTATATTTTCTTTAGTTGCTAATTATACAGTATTTTGTAAGCTAAAAGCAGATAATCTAAATACTTTAAACTGTGCACATAGTATACAGTAGTGCAAGGCCAGATGTGTTCTCCTCTAATGGGGAAAGCTAATCTCCATCCCTTGACATCACAGACTGGGAAGATGTGAAGACCATGCACAACAGCAGTCTTCTGTTTCTGCTGGGGTGTGACTGACCTTCAGTAAAAAATACACCCCTTCTGCTTTGTTATTTTTCTGTAAAATCAAGGTAGTACTGCTATATGGAAGCTATAACAGCTTTATAGTTAATGGGTACTTCTGTCGTAAAGGCTGTATTTTCTATTATTTATATATATATAGGAAATAGTGTATTTATATATGACCTGTATTAGCACATTTAGGGGTTTCACATGAGTTACAATTAGCACAAAACTTAGTTATATTTTAGAAAAAAAGTCTGATTCATCATCACCCTCAGCAATTTTGTGCTTTTCTACTTAATAACTGAGAAAGCTCCCTAGTCAACTGTTAAACCATTTAAGTGCACTTAATTACATATGTGTACTTGTTTTAGGAGGCTGAGTAAAGACATGATGATGCAGGTTTCATGCTGGGTAACATTTCTTGAACTGTTCTTTTTAGAAAAGCAGAAATTTTTTTTTGATCTTTTTTCACACATCGTGAAATCAAAGGTACTAATTTTGTTCTCATGTTTCAGTAAACTGTTTTTCTATTCATACATCATTCTGAACCCTTAAAACCAAGTTTCAAATAGTTGGCAGAAAATGTTCACATTACCTGCGTTTATCACAATAATTTCAAATATAAAGCTTTTATGGTGCATGTCTTTTTCCACATACAACAGCAGTTGATAAATATGTATATAAATACAACATATGAGTATATAAATGTGCCTTACAGGCTTCATAAGAAAAGCACGATTTTTAAGAGCCGTGCATAAAAGTCAGTTCCTTGATCATCCCAAAGTAACCCAAAATTCAGAGCCTTATGCATTGTGCTAATTTTGACTGGGATAGAGTTCATTTTCTTCACAGGAGCTAGTATGGGTCTGTGGCTTGGATTTGTGCTGAAGACAGTGTTGATAACACAGGGATTTTTCATTACTGCTGAGCAAAGTTTGTGCAGAGTCAAGGTCTTTTCTGCCTTCCACCCCACTAGGGAGGAGGGTGCGGGTTCACAGAAAGCTGGGACAGCACACAACCAGGACAGCTGACTCCAACTGACCAAAGGAATATTCTGTATATGCTCAGCATATAAAGCTGAGGGGGAACAAGGAAGAGGGGGGGAGTGATGGCATTTGTCTTCCCAAGTAACCATGATGGAGCCCTGCTCTCCAGACATCCACTGCCCATGGAAAGTTGTGAAGGACTTATTCCTTATTTTGATTTGCCTGCATGCATGGATTTTGCTTTATCTATGAAACTGTCTTTATCTCAACCCATGAGTTTTCTCACTTTTTCCCTTCTGATTCTCTCTCCCCTCCCCTCCCCCCCACCCTTCCCCCGACCAGGGAAGAGTGAGCAAGGGGCTCTGCATTCCCTAGATGCCAGCTGGGGTTAAACTGCAGTAACATAAAGGAATTGGCAGGTCTACAGGCAACCTGCTTTAAGTGCTCAGAGCTGAAGAGCTTAACCTCTTCTGCCCTCCTACTCACTAGCATGTACTACACTTTTTTCTGATTGAACATTCAGTCCAGATTAATCACCCTCAGAAGAGATATTTAAAAAAACCCAGCTGTAACAGAAGGAATTTTCTGTTAAGGTGACTGTTAGTAACAGAGATGGGCTTAGAAACACATCAGCAAATTAGGGTACACAAGGCTAGAAGTCCTAGTGAGAAATGTACCTATCGCCAGCGTGCACAACCCCAACTCAGTTTTACTGCTTGTACAACCAGCACAACCTTGGCCACAAAGATTTCAAAACAAATAACTACTACAAGAAAAAAAAAATCTGACACACAGGATTCATTGCATAAACATTTAAACAGAGGAAATAATTTCTTTTACAAACATGTTTCTCTTGTATAAGAATAATTTTGTATAGAAAATAGCTCTTTATACATTTTACAGAAATAGGCTAACATTTAGATTCTTTATTAATGAATAATGATTGAATGCAATTTAAGATTTCAGTTATGTTTCAGAGTCACCAAACATCAATAACACAGCAATACATCACTGCTCTAATATCCCTAAACTGCTTGACTTACCAAATAGAGTCAAGACAGTAAAAATGTTCCTAGAGCCATGATAATTTGCAAACACTCAAGTATCTTGAAACTGTTAAGTTATGAAATACCTGCTGAAAGTAATACCATAATTTAAATGCCAAGGAATATGGACTTAAACCTTAACAAGGCAGCGTTACTTGCATACTTAGATTATTCTGCTGGCTAATACTGTAAAACCCAAATTGAACAAAAGCTTTAGTATTCAACTGGTTTACTGTTAATGTGACCTTCAAAACACCCCTGAAGGATGGGATAAAACATATAAATATAATAAAAATACTTTCATTTTCTTAAGAAAACATGGAAGGTTGATGAAAAAAAAAATCAGTAAATTAAGATACAAAAAGTAAATCTGTGGAGGACGAGACTTTGAAAAACACGTGTATATATATTTATATGTAAGGGTATGCTAGGAAGTACATATATTTAAAAATACATAATTTCTTCAAAGACTGTGTTTAAATTCATATGGTATCATTTGGAACTCAAACGTAACACAGACTCAAATGCTTTTCCCCTACAATTGCTGTTTCAAGCACCTGTACTCATCTGCAAATTTCCTTGTAAATTAGAAGGAAGGTAAGGACATTTATCCTTGGACTACAACTATATGCAGTACTCATTTCTTGCTTTCTGGATATTTTATAATTTTAAATTGAAGATGATGTAAGCAAATAAGTACTATATAACCCAATGACTGAAAACTTGAAATTTAGATGCTAATGATTCTATTTAGTATTCATATAGAGCTACTTAGGAGTTTGCCAGCTGTACCCTATGTGAGTACTGTTGACACTTCCATGCTTCATGATTGAAATGTGTAGCTATGTTTAGTCAAACATGGCTCTCACTCCAAGTTAACCAGTCTCTTAACAAATACAACTTTTAAATAAATTCAGCTGGAAGTGGTACACCTCTCCTTCTCACAGCACAGAGGTTGATATGAGACAGTAAAGAATCACATTATACTGGTTCACATTTCTATGTGGTTAGAAGGAGAAACACCCTGCAAAACCTTATTCCAGTGATTTTGCAAATTCTGCATAGTCGATGTATCCGTCATTGTTCTTATCATCATCTCTTAAGACATCATCTATTAGATTAATCAGCTCTTCTTCTTTCATTGCTTGGGTATGCTCACCACCTTCCTACAAAAACAAAACCACATGGAACAGTTTAGCAGTCTTTCCCACCTACTGGCACATATAACAGATTACTGACAATTAATTTTTTGTTAAGCCATTCATGTTTGGTGCCTAATTTGGCACTAAGTTTTATATAAACATTTATATCAATATAAGCAACTTTTATCAGGTGGAAGCTATGAAGTCCAAGTTTTCTGGACTTCAGAAAAAACACTCTCTTTTCGGTTAATATTCTTAGTCAAAAGTTCCAAAAGCTGAATAGCACAGTGTATAATGATGGATAATCATCTAACAGATGTATTCTTATTTGGATCTTCATGTAGTATAGACACTATAGTTTCTGTAAAATACAGAAACACCTTACAGTAACGGAGTAGTGAAAAAAATCTACCACTGTAGCTTAAAGCCAATAAAATTCTTAAAACACCCCTTACAAATAAATGAGAAGATGGTGCCTTTGCACAAGAAACAGCAAGTCATCATTCTATTCTTGGCTCGGTATTTTTTTGCCACAGGTATATGCAGGAAGTTATGCTATCCTGAATTGTAACTTCCAGATCAACATGAGATAATGTGTTCATATTGTCTTCCTAAGGGCTGTATCTTCCTACTTTGTCTTTAAATGTTCGTGGCTGTAACGAGAATTTGTTTAGAAAGAGGCAGACCATAACTGGTTCTTCTAATACTAACGTTATCCAAGAGATCTCCTACAGCCTGTGTATCCACAGCAGTGACAGTCTGACACTGAAAACAGCATCGTATCACATGCTATTTCTATAAACCCTCATGTCCCATTTTGGATAATTTCCCTTTCTCCCCATCCCTGCATACCAAAACAAGCCCTCTGTAAAATCATTTTCACTTTACAGCCCTTCCTCATTCTAAAGTTTAAACTACAATGGAAACTTCTTGAAAACTGCAGTGTGACATGAAAAGCTGTGATAAAGCTGGTACATTTATAAATGCAACTAGAACTATCAGGGGGAAAGAAAAATATCTCATTTTCAGGCAAAACTGCACTGAAGATGTGTTGCAATTGTTCCGTTCTATTGTAAGTTGCTTTCAGAGTCAGAAGTGTTTCCAAACACACATGCCCTTACAAAATTACACCTACCTCCTTGTGGACATGTGATATAGCAGTAGCAAGCTCTAACCCATCTAACAAATTATTGCCATCATAATCATGCATTTTGAAGTAATGGAGCTGCAACTCTTGTGGAGACATCTCAGTTTCTGGTTTCTCAATGACACCTTCCAAGTGTTCCATGATGTGCCTAAGAAAAACAAAAAAAAACCCAAAGACAAACAAAATCTACAACATTTCTGTCAGTTAATATGTCATGCTCTGTTTACATCAAATTTAGTCTTTGATCGAATACTATTCTTCTAAAAGCACCCTGGATAACTAAAAGCTACAGTTTGATATTAAGATGAAGGGGACACAGAGGTTGTTTGTTACAGGTGCTGTAGTGGCCTTAACACCTTAGATAGCTATTTCTGTTTCTTCTGGCCTACTTAGCAGGCTATCAAAACAATGGAAGTAGCGCCCAAAATCTCCTTTGGCTGTCTTCCAAAGCACAGGAGCTGGAGAAAGACCTTTCCCAGTCAACCATGAAGTGTTCTAGGGAGTTTTATTTACTGCTAGAACTGTTCTGCATGTATGAAGAAGAAAATGAGAAAAAACCCTCTAACTCTGTTAAGAATATGATTTTGTCCAAAGTATGCTGATCTGGGTAAGCAGGACCTCTGTAAGAAGTTCTTTATAGTATGAGTAGGGCTAAAGGTTCCAAAGAGACCTTTCTAGGTCTCATATCTCTACAAATTTATCAAGCAAGCACGTCTCATATCTGGCTTTAGCTAGTCATACAACATTCTGAGGAAACAGGGTGCCCTAGGCTTAAGTCCAACATAACAAGACTTCAAAGATAAGAAAATCATTAAGAAGTAAAGTTTACGTTTTTAGAACATGGAACACATACTCTTTATCTTGTACCAAATTCTTATCGAGGCGAATATTTGCATGTTGACTCTCTCCTACGTGTTCCTCAGCAAGGGCAGAGATGAAGAATGCAGCCAGAAAGCAGAAGAGCAAATGTGATCTAAACAACCTTTGGGCCATTGTGATCTCCTACAAAAAGGAAAACATCCCCCATAAAAAAAAAAAAAACAGATGAAAAATGTGATCTACTTTCAGCAGATTTACCAAGTACTTAGAATCAAGCCCACTGAGTTTTAGAATAGAAGAACTCGCTTATTTCAAGCCCTTGGGAAGCAGAAAAACAGAGAGCTCCAATTAAGGATTTCTGTGAGGGTCCCTATTTCACAGAATCATGCAGCATTATGCAGTAATTTTCAGATGACTTTTTTTTTTCCCACATAGCAGATGTGCACTCCTCAGGTGCGGATGTGTTTTCATGTACCCTCTAGACAACCAACCACGCCAGGCTCAGGCAGACCTGCCCCATAACCATGGGAGCAAAGGTCGCTTACCTTTGCTCGAAGCGGCCGCATCTAATTAGTATCTCTATTAAGACTGCATGCCCTAAGGAACGTACAGCTTGGAAAACGTCATGCAGCCATGTATGTGCTCCCTTCGCGGGGAAGTGACAGGATACAGCGCTCCAGAGGGGCCAGGGGAGCCCAGGAGCGGGCTAGGGGGTTCGGCCCCTCTGTGCTCCAGCCCCAGCTGAAGCGACCCCCGGTTTCCCCGGCACAGCGCTGGCCGCCAGCAGCCTCCTACCCCCGGCTCCCGACCCGGCTGGACCCCCCGGGAGAGTCCCCCCCGCAGCGGGACGGGGCCGGGCCCACCGCACACCGCCCAGGCCCCAGCACACCGCCCTCCAGTACCGGCTGCCGGGGCGGGCAGAGAGGCCCCGCCGCCGCCAAGCTACGCACCGCCGGGCGGGTCTGGGCCGTGGCGCGGGCTCCGGGACAGGCGCAGGCGGGACACCATTCCCGGGACACCATCCCCGGATTACCCTTGACCCGGCGCGCGCCCCGCCCCTGCTCCCCTCCCATTGGCTGCGTCGTCCCGCCCCGCGGGCCGACGTCACCGCTCGCGGAGCTCCACGTGGAGCCCTCGCGGCGGCGCAGGTGCGGCGGGGCTCCGCCCACCGCGGGTGCGCGGGGCAGGATCTGGGGGTCCCGGAGGGCGACGAGCAGGCGGCGTGTCCTTGGGGACAAGAAAGCCAGTGGGATCCAGGGGTGAGTCAGGAAGAGCATTGCCAGCCGGTTAAGTGAGCTGATCCTGCCCCTCTACTCAGCCCTAGTAAGATCAAATCTGGAGTTCTGTGTTCAGTTCTGCGCTCCTCAGTGCACAGAGACATGGAGCTCCTGGAGCAGGTCCAGCAGAGGGCAACCAAGAGGATTAAGAGACTGGAGCATCTCTTATGAGGAAAAGCTGATGGAGATGGGCCTGTTCAGCCTCGAGAAGAAACGACTGAGAGGGGACACCATCGATGTCTAAACTATCTAAGGGGAGGGAGGATTGAGCCAGGCCCTTCTTGGTGGTGCTGAGCAATAGGACAAGAGCCAATGGGCAGAAACTGATGCACAGGAAGTTTCAGCTGAATATGAAGAAAAACTTATTTTCTGTGTGGGTGGCTGAGCTCTGGAACTGGTTGTCCACAGAGGCTGTGGAGTCTCCCTCACTGGAGATGTTCAAGAACTATCTGAATGCAATCCTGTGCCATCTGCTCTAGGATGACGCTGCTCTAGCAGGGAGGCTGGAAGAGATGTTCCACTGTGGTACCTTCCACTCTCACCCACTCTGGGATTCTGTGCGAGTGCTGCAGGGCCTCAGCCGCTCTGGCCCCATATGTAGAGAACACCATTCCAAAGGGCACACCGCAGGGATCCCACCACCTAGGCACAGCCGAGAGGGAGTGGGACAGTGGGGCAGTGTGTCCTTCTCCAAGGGCTGTCCTCGGCCACTCCTGCTCCAGGCACTTCCCCCCCAACCCCTCAACAGCCCCGTCCAGAAAAGACTGCCGGCTCCTCACCCTGCTGCTCCTTTGGGAAACTCCTGCGCCCTGTCGCCAGTGCCCTCTGTGGTTTATAAACTGTGTGTGCTCTGCGCTTCCCCTCGCACCGAACGCCCCAGGTCTCGTTGTTCCCATACTTGACGCCTACACAGCCGCCGCTTTGGCCTCCCGAGGTCACAGTCCCCGAGCAAACCCCGGGCCCGGGCAACCAGGCGGGCTTTCGGCTCATTCCCGCACCAGCCGGGAGCTCTGTGCCGAAGTTGCGGGAGGGGGCGGTGGCCGTGGGGCGCAGCCGGCAGGGAGCCCCGGGGTTTAGGTGACTCCCGCGGGCCGCAGTGGGGGAGCGGCACTCCCGGCCCTTCTCGCGCGTTGCAGGGCGCGCGGGGCCGCCTCCGCAACGCCCGGACAGCGCCCGCCCGGCTGGACGTGGCTTCGCGCACCGGGCGTCAGGCGAGAGGTGTCAGGGAGTGGCGACCGTGTTAGAGGCGCCATCCCTGGCCGCAGCCATCGGACGGGGCACCGTCTCACCCGCTCCCGCCCCCCGGCACCTGGCGGATCCGCGGCCCCGCCGGCGCCTCCCGGGTGCTGCCGCCGGGGACACCCCGCGGGCCGGGGCGGGGCGGGTCCGTGCCGGCGCTAAGATGGCGGCCAAGGGCTCGCACTCGCACGTGAAGCTGGAGGCGGAGATCGAGCGGTGCCGAGCGGAGGGGCTTTGGGGGCGGCTCCGGCTCCTCGCACAGCAGCTGCTGCCGCCGCCGGCGCGGCCCCCGCGCAAGGCGAAGGGGGCGAGGGACGCGCAGGACGCGGGTAAGCGGCGGTGGGGGACGAGCGGGGCGGCCGCCGGTACCGACCCGCCCGGGCGCGGGGCGGCGGCGGGGCCGGCTGGTCGCTCTGTGCCGCCGCCCGGGCTCGGCAGCGCCGGCCCGGCGGGTTGACGTGGGCGGGAGCTGCGGCTGCCCCGCAGCTCCCGGGGTTGCGGGAGCGGGCTGGGGAGCGCTGAGGTGCGGGGGGTCGCCCGGTGTCCCATGTCAGCGCCCCGGCTCCGCTGCGGGAGAGAAGGAACGATGCCCGGGAGAGGCGGTGGGAGCCCAGGAAGCGGCGCTCGGGGAGATCACACCGCGCTTCCTCTTCGTGTCAGCGCTGCCGAGCCCTTCGGGCAGCGAGGAGCGGCTGTCGAGCGCTCGGGATGCCGCCCCCGCCGCGGTCAGCACCGGCCGCAGGTGGCGGCTGCCCCGCTCCGAGCCGGCCCTTGATGCAACCAGCCCGGCCGGGCCACCCACCAAAACCTGCCCCGTTTGGAAATGTCCGTCTGCAGCTTCTCCATACGTGTCGTGCTCGTTCCCTCTTGCCCCCTGCCCAACCCTGTTCTGGATGCCCTTGTGTTACCTCCCTCCATTTCTGAAGGGCCCTGCTTTATTTAAAAGGCTTGGGCTCGTCCAAGTACCCTTTCACATGTAAAACAGGTTTCATAAATAGCAAATGTATTCTTTTTTTTTTTTCCTGTTACAACACACTACTTTGCTTCTTTTTTAAAATGAAATCGCTTGCAATAAGTGAAGCAGCCTAACTTGGAAATGTAAAAATCTATGTTTGTGGTCAGCAGGTAAGTTGCAAAGAGGACCTGGTCCTACCCGTGACACTGGTACAAAGGGTTCTGCCACTGAAGTCACAGGAGCTACATCTATGAATAAAGCCCTTCTGTAGAGGAGTGTTCCTGGTATGTGGCCCTAGAGTTAATTGAAGTTTGCCAGGGGTTCCTGAAACTTCACGGTGGGAAGCATGGTGGGGAAGATGTTGGTAGCTTAATACATGTTTATTTGTGAGGCTTTCCAAGTGGGTACATGATGCAGGTGCTGAGAACCACAGGGCCAACCTTTGAACTTCAGTCGCGTTTCAGCAGCGCTTCCCAGGTGCAGAGATCTCACTGCAGTTTGGGGGCATTAATAGTTGAAGAGTTCATAGTAGTTTCTTGCCTTGTAATTAAGAGGCATAACAACAGTATGATTGCTGTAAAAACACGATTTGTTAATTTGCTGCTATGTCATCATAACTTACTGGTTATGAAAGAGTAATGCTTTGTTATTGCTGCAGAACTTTTCTTTCAGCAAGGGACTGGGTACAGTTTTGTGCTTCTAGAAACCATTGTCTGCCTGGATTAGATTATTTTAATAGTAGTGTTTGCATTGTGAGATTGTGTGTATTTATTTCTTAATTGTACGTGGTCTTACCTATGTCCTTAAGTTTGTTTTAAGATATTAAAGACTACCTGAAAGGTCTTTAGTATGTAGAAATTATTGCATGCAAGTTTAGGGGGGAATATACTTGAACATTTATGCTTCCCATTTTACGTACCTGTACATTGTTTATGCGAGGTAGTTGCAGACCTGCAAATGAGCAGGAAGAGCTATCGTTATAATTTGATATGCAGCTAAACAGTTAGGCCACAACAACAAAAAAACCTAAACCACCACCACTCCCACACACAGAGTGTGTGTAGTGTATAGGTGGAAAGTGGGGATAAATTGTCCCATGGCCTGAAAATATGGAAATAGGTACACTGTCGTGTTTCCCATATTCTAGAATTCCAGACTTTGAAACGTGGAGTATATATGAAATGTAGGGTTTGGCTCTTTGATATACAAAGATTTTGTTACCCTGCTAGACCCGGTCGCCCACTGATTGAGGTACGACTTTTATGAATAAGGTAACTGCAGAACTGGGCCCGTCATGCAAGAAATCAAAGTACTCTGACAGATGAAACTTTTTTTCTTTTCAGCACATGATTGCCACTTTGCATGATGCTTCACGCTGTATCCAGTGCTGCTGCTTATGTTTGAGTTTCTCTTCTGTAGAACTGTGAACAGGAATGGATTTTAATGTAGAAAGAATGTGGCACGTTATTTGTGGCAGAGGATCAAGCCTTGTGTGTCTTTAGTATCTAAATTGTCTTTTTTTCTGTGAACTTTCAGGTAAATTTGTTACTGTTTTGCAGTGAAATTCACAGCTTCCGTATCGTCCAAAGCATTCATTTCATGCTTGTACATTTGTAGATCTAAAGCATGCACTGATGTGTTTGCGAAGATTGATCTTATACTTTTGAAAGTGAGTTTTGTGCTGAAAATTCTGAACTGTTGCAATTAGTGGCAATGCAGGAATGAATGGTGCTGCCAAAATTAAAGGATTCTTTAGGGAAAAGTCTTCAAGTTATAAGGAAGTGAAGTTTCATTTTTTCTTAGGCAACGTACTGTTTCCAATAGAAAGAAGTTAATGGAACTATTTTTTTGGCTGTCATTTCTTCCTTATTCTCTCATTTGAGTTGCCCTTTATGTGTCTCAAAGGTGCGTTGTTTTTTTTTGTAATTCTGTTTATTATCTACAGAACTAAGCAATGTTTCTTGTTGTTTGGTGTGTGCTTTCAGAGGACCACGGGAGTATGCTGCTAGCAGAGGTTCTGCTGGAAGAATGTTTGAAGGAAAACTTTGCCAAACTGAAGGACTCCATTCCACTGACAGAGAAGAATGAACCAAAACTGAGTGAAGCTAAACAGTATCTGACCAGTATCTTAAGCAGAGGAAAACTAAGAGTAAGTGGACTCTGTCATTGTAATTCCTGCCAACTGGATGTTTCTTTCATATGATTATTAGTCTGATACAGGGTGTGATTGTTGCCTGTTCATGTCCCTGTATGTACAGTGCTGTATTGTAGGCATTACTGAGGGACTGCTAATTCCCCTTGGCAGTATCTTCTGCTGTGAGACTTGCTTTTTCATATGCAAACAAATAGTACATATCCTGTTCTGTTTTTTTTTTTTTTCATTAGAAAGAACCAGGATAAATACTTAGGGTTTCTCTGGGATGTGGGGTGTGGCCACATAACATGACCTACTGCTACTCCTGATCTGAGGGAGCTGTGTATACCTATTCAGCTCCAGATCAGAGAAGAATGTGCTGCAAGTTGCTGTCAGGAATTCAGGGTTGTGTCGTGAGTCCAGGATTGCAG